GACTTCAGGCTATACATCAAATTTTAAATTGTGTTGGTAGATAAATAAATTATACAACTTTTTAAAAAAAATATTCATCATATTTGAAGCGGAGAGGAGCACCGAGCAGACTTGACCAGAGTAATCTCCAGTCAGTCTGCCTGCTGGCGTTAATTGTATTAATCATCAAGTTCCAAAAAAAATAATCGATTGTTTTTCTGACGATTAATTGCACACGATACGATTATGCCCAACCCTATTGAGAAGAACATATAAGCTCATTAGATTTTCATTTTAATGAATTTGTTCCCATCTTTTGGTAATTAGGGTTGTATCATGTCCCAGAAAAACTGAGCCATTCACTGCATGAAGCCCTTCAGACGTCCACATTGTACAGATGGGTTTTAGTCAAGAGGCAGTTTTTGTGGTGAATGGGGTCCCAGACTGGTGTGAAGCTGGGGGGGTGGAAGCACCTGGCTGAGAGCTTAATGATCTGCTTAAGAGCAGCTGGAGAAGCTGAGGATCAGGCAGCATGTTTGCATCTTGTARAAATACATTTTCACTCTTTCTTCTCATCTTTAACAAACATGTAGATTTAGGTTCATGTTGTGTCTTGACTGTTTCCAGACATGTTTGTTTCCTCTGCCCTGCCAGAGGCTTTGTGTGTTTTACATGAAATGTTGTCTAATTGATGTCATTGCTCATGTTGATGAGGCTTTAGCTTTTATTTTTAACCATTGCCCATCTTTTTTCCCCCAAGAGATTCAGCCTCTCTAACATTTTCCTTAAACCCAGCTCTTTTACTAAAGTGATTACCAGTGGTCTGCAGCGCTAATCCAAAAATTAGCACCTTAATTTCTAAAGCGCTTATAAAAATATTTAGGTCCACAACTTCAAAACCGCTTATGCCATAGAAAAACTAGCAGAAGCTAATTTTAAAGCACAAGTTCAATTTGACACTTACTAGCTGACAATTCATGTACAATATATGTACAACACTACCAACTAGTGGTGTATGAACTCTTTTACAACTTAATTATACAACTGCTTATTGCTGGGGATGTGATTTCCTGAAAGAGAACTTTAGCTCCTGGGGTAAAAATTAAAAAGTTGTTGAGGATTGCTAGTTCGGCTGCTTCTTTGTCTTTTTCTTTTRTTTGTTGTAGATTTTTCATTAGAGAAGCATCAATAAAGTAATTTTAAAACTGTTTATTGGAAAACTGAAGCGATGCTTTCTGGGTACATGACGGACTGACGGGAAAC